CAGGACGACGCATCAAGACGGTTGATGATTTCTGAGGACGGGTCAGTGCTTAGGTCGGTCTGTCAATCACGAGCTGAAACCTTCCTTGTGGTTGACAGTATATCTGTGTGAGGAAAGTGAACACACAGAGGAGTATAACAGCTCACTGCTAAACAGCATAGGATATATTAATGTAATTTTACATTTATAGTTTAACTTTTTTTATGATATGCATTACGCTGAACAAATTGTAGCATAACTTCAACTGAATATCTGGGGTGTTGGGATGGGGCTATTAGTTTGTTCGTGGGATATTGTTTTGCACAGTCACTGATAGTGATTTTAATACTACAGTTTGAGTTATATCAGTTTGACATTTCATTTTATATTCTGTTGCTGACTTTTTGAATGTTGCTGGATAAAAAAGTATTTTATGTAAATGTCCCCTATTTAGGTAAACTCTTATGTCTGCCTAATCAAAGCATTATTTTGTGTATTAATAGATATCAAAAGACACTATTTGCAGAGTTGTATATACTGTACAGCTGATAACAACATGGTTATATACCATGATATTGCAAATAACTCATTCATTCATAATGTATTCTAGTCCGTTTGTTTTTGGTATCTTCATTTCTTCCTTTGAATTTTGTTGTTTGTTTGTTTTTTACATTACGATGTATTATATGTAATAAACAGTGAAAAAACTAAAATACTCAATGTAGGCATGTGCATTTTGGCTATTTTGAATATGATAGTACTTTTTTAACTGTGGTATGCATGCGTCTTTGGCCTTTACGTTGCATCTTGACGACTTTACAGCATCTCACAATGCGAGTGTTGCATTTTTAAGATGGTTTGTCAAGTTAAGAACAGTTCGATTTTAAAAAAAAACCTGTTATTAGCTGCTTTATTTGGCTTCAACAGTTGTGCTCCACCTTGCTGAAACAAGTTGTCATCCTTTTCTAACCTCAAACAAATCACAGAATTAAAAAATTGCCCAGATTTTGGCATGTTTGTGCGTAGTTGGTGTGAAATATTCTGATGTTTTCATTCCTGTCACTTCCTAGTATTCGGGTTCTCATGCTCATCCCTAATTCGATGGTATGTTGACTTAGTGTAGATTTTGGATGAATTGTCTTCTTCTTTTTTCCCCCAGCTGCCTGTGTTGTCTGGGCCCAGAAGCAGATGTCTGTGCGCTTTGAGTGATTTAGGTTCAGGAGCCTGCACGTCTGAGATAAATTCATTTCATCTCCAAGGGGAGTGAACTTGTAAAGAGAAATCTATTCTTGTTCTGACTCTTTCTGTCTAAAGAAAATGAAAATCTGGTAAGGAAGTTTCAGCAACATGTTAAGTATTGGAAATGTCACTGAATGACCAATTACACACAGAGAGCCAGATTGTCTGCAGCTTGTGAAGCTTTTTATATACCACAGGCAAAACTGTCATATGAGTACAGCAGTCACTTTTACAAAATGGCTACTTTATCTCAGTACTTATCTCTGAGCTCAGCATCAAAGTAAAGTATTCAGGGCTATCCAAGAGCCCTCGGTTAGTGATCAAGCACTGTCTGATTGGTCAAACTTTTGCTATACCATTATGAAGGCATTTAGCAACATTAAAACTGTTAAATATCAACAGAACAAATAAGGTGCTTTCAGGATTTTTGCCCACTTTCATGCTGCTTTTCTAGATTTATAAACTTCATGGATTGAACTTTATGAATACAGCTATTAATATATTGCACAGGAACATATGTGATTAGTTTTTTTTTATTCATCTGGATTTAGAGAAACACAAAAAATGAGCACACTGAAAATGTCAAATGAAATGAAACATCCATAGTAGAATACCCAGCACTTGTAATGTTAAACTTTTAAATGTAGCCTCGTAATGGCAGTCTCTATCCAACAGGAACTTCATGTCTTCAATATGTCTTTAATGTAAAATGGCATTTATATCATGTTCTGAGAACAGTGTGTCCGATGTCCTGGAGCAGAGTGACTCTCGAAATCAGCATTTGTGTTTTTTGTTTTTGTTTTAGGCTTACATTTTTGGGGAGGGGGGTAAGTTTAAACAAAATATACACCTTGTAACAACAACAAATCTGAAAATGCACATGAACAATTAATTTACCAGCCCTCGGTACTTCACCGTCATGTTCTCAGAGTACTTGATAGTTGATTGAGTGTACACACATTTTATAGTGATATTCCACTTGAATCAGATGTTCCCAAAGCAATTCCAACAATAAAAAAAAATGTAAGTGCAATAACTTACGTTTGTAAATCACACAATATATATAGACCGTAAACAAGCTTGAAAGTAAATAATTATTCAAAATGATTCAAAAGCCATATGTTTAGCTTAAAGCCATCACAACTATTTTAGGTTCATTTACATACCAAAAACCCAAATGAATCGCATTTTATCCCCTAGACCCACAATACAACAAAAGCCCTTAGTCACACATAAAATAATATATTTCTAATAAGGATATTTTTTTACAAAAGAACGGGTCCAATGGTATTTTATGCCAGAAAGGAATCCGAAGAAAACCGTACATGCGACCACACACAAAACAAAGAATTATATTATTCTAGTACTTGGATATGCCTACTTCAGTAGTATAAGTTTTGAGAGATGGGACAGAGAGTTAAGCATCTCTGTAACTCGTAGGCATCTGCAAGGTACTGTCAATTGTACTGTATAATTAACATTTCCTTCAAGAACAATCTGTTCTAATCTTGTACAATCTCTACAGAACTGTCTTGACCTTTTTACATATTTAGTTGGGATTTACCTTTGAATGAAATACAAGAGTGTGAAAAACAAATGCAATGAATTGTGTTCTGTTATGTGCATATTAGCTCATGTAATGGTAAGTGTAAGTGTGCGCTGATACTACATAAACTAATGATAGTGTTGACCTGAGCTTCATCGACGCCCCTCCTGGCTCCACAATAGTTAAAGATAGGCTAACACAGAGCCCAGGCTGCTCTGTTCTGTCACAGAATCCCTCTCCGCAGATGTCTCGGTGTTAATTAAAAAAGACTGCCTGAGAGCATGGATGTGCATGGACTCAGAGTTGCTGAGGGCTGATGCTTTGGCTTGGGTAGCAGGCCGGGCCCTGTTCAGCATGGGGCTTTGAAAGAAGAGCCATGACAGCTGAAGGGAAGCATGTGCGAGGCATGTTTGTTTTGCATTACCCCGCACACAGCTGTGTGGATTGTCCTTTCCCAGAACACCGGAACACTATAGTCACTTCACCCTCTCAGTAACCCCTTAAAGGCCAAAAGTGACAATGTCAGGACTCACAAAGCTGCTCTGGCAGAACTTCTCATGGCTTTTGATGAGGACTGGAGGTTGAACTGCCATTCTGGTAGATGGGATCGGTGCAGGACGGGTCTGCTTTAGTAAAAAGTGCCAGTTTTAGTTCTACTGAAGAGCATCTTAGCATTATCTTTTTTTTCAACAGGTCCCTTGCTAGGCTGGGTGATGAGATGCTCAGTCATGAGATGCAATGAAGACTTCTGCCAAAAAATTAATGAAGCATGGCTCGAACTTCATGAAGCTTGAACACTTTACATATCATATATCCAGGCCATGGAGCACAAGACTGAGCAGCTACAAGGAGGTGATCTCTAATTAACTTTATGTAACGAGGTTCTTTTACAAAGTGATTTTAACATGATATTGTGCCCAATGCCTTATGCATTTTGTTTAAAAACGTTAAGTAATGAAGCCTAGTTTCTGTCGGTCCGAAAAAGACCCCCCCCCCCCCCCCCCCAAAACCAGGTAAGTCACTGCTCTGGTATTATAATAAAAAAGTTGTGTGTGTATATACATATCTCCAGGGATCCAGATAAGCTGCACAGCAGAATGAAGGAAAGGAAATGTGGTTCTCATTTACAAATTAGAAATGGCTTCTCCAAAGGGCAGCACGTATCAGATTCGGCTCCAGATTTCAAACAGCTTTGTTTTACCTGATCTAAATCTGACTTGGGAAAAGTAGAAAGCTCGTAGTACCTTGAAATGGTGCTCGCTTTATATTTCTGTCGCCAAACCCAGTAATGCTTCCACCCAATCAGAGCCATAGTGGATAATGCCTAGATTGGCAAGTTGATAGTTTCATTTAAGATGGTGCAATGAGGGGAGAGCAGCCAAGGCACAAAAGTTTACTGAAAGATGCAAGAATATTGTGATCTTCAAAGCACAAATAAAGCAAAAGTTTCTCATCCTATTTTTGCATCCTTTTTGTAGTTCTTAGTTAAGTTTGACATTCAACTTGACAGTTGGTATGATCTTGCCAAACAGCTTTATTACAACTCTTTCCTGCAGAGAAATTGAAATGAGACCGCAAATAATAGAAAGATAGATTGCAGTGTGGACAGAAAGCGCCACCTGTTTATTTTGTTCTTTAACTGTATTGCTATTGCTTTGGCTTTGCACTGGCAGATTGCACTTGTATAGGGACACAATTCATTAAGGCAAGAGGAAGCCTGCTTCGAGTTGCTAGTTACCTGCAGGAGAGGTATGCTTTCCTTTTCTGCCTGCTGTCTGTCACCCCCAGGCCCTTTTAAGTCCATCATGCCCGATGTCCCATTCCCAACAGGCTTTTGCTCAAGTGTTCAACCTATTTTTCAGACTGCTGCAAGTGTAGTACATATCAAATAGCCGAATTCTAAAAGGACAAATGAATTAAAATGAACAAATTAATCAATGTAGCAGTAGTGATTGTTCACTGAGGGATTTTGTCAGATTTTATATTGGGAACTGGTGATTGTATAATTGTTTAGATAAAGGCTGCAATGGGAATTTTTTTACTGAGAGAAACTGTATTGTTTGTCCTTTGGAACTGTCTAGGCAGGCATATTTAGAAAAAGGAGTCTGTGACAGAACAAGAATTTAACAGGTTTTGATTATGCTGAGATGAAAACGAAGCCAGATGCGTTTTGATAAATTTACGTGCGTTTACAAATGGGACACTAGTGGCGGATAAGTGCAGGGTTTTCTTTCCATTTGTTTTTTTTTTTTCCTTTTTCCTTTAATTCTTGTATGCATTCAAATGTCAAGTTTCTGTCGTCTTTCTTGTATTTCTTGTTTTAAAGCCAGAACATTCTCAGTTTTATGATCTCTGATTTTCCCTAGTCTCTCTAGACTTCAAATGTGAAATAAATCTCATGGTTTCTCAATTACTTTTTCTTGTCTTTGTCAATCCACACACTCCTTGATCCCAGGTCATGCTTTGGTGGCTAACTGATGTTCACATTTGCTCCTCCTTCTCTTGTTTGTTGAGGGACTTCAGAGATAACGTCCTAAAGTTGGGGGAGTCATGTAGCCCAAGAGATGGCTGCGCTGTGTTCTTTAGCTTTCATTCGCAGTGTGGCGATGCTGGAGGATTTCCTGTCGGGGTCCATGTTTAGATCGTACCCATTAATGCCAGTGCCCATCCCTGGACTCCCAAACAAGCTGCCCATGTGTGTCTGTCCCATGTGACCTCCAGGACTGGACACACCCAAGAAGTCAGACACTCCGCTAGCAGCATGTGGATGAGGTGGCATGCAAGAAGTGACCGAGTCGCAGGGTACGACGCAGCCCGGCACAGGAGATGCCGCACTGCTGCTGCCTATCCAAGAAGGGTTCTGAATCTGCAACAAAGTCAAATGCAGAAAGTTAAGGTATAGTGCATTTACATTCTGCAATCTCAGCATCAATAACATTAATGTAACTTATAGTCTTGAGAGCATTTATCAAGTCTGACTCCTTGTTTTGAAATATTGCATTGGCGAAGGTGCAGAATCCTCAGTGGTACTCGATGTGGAGATATATCAAGAGCTGTGGGGCATTCATCTGGTCCCGTACTGAGTGGGAGCTGCTTGACTAGTGTGGAGGAGGAATGCCTGTCTCTGTATGCTCCTTCAACACCCAGAGTAACCTCCTCTGCTGAGCGGAGGGAGCACAGAGTGAATTGATAGGGCTGTATTCTGCTCTGGGCCTGGGGAGGTGGGGGTCTGAGGGAGGGCTGTGGAGGGAGATGAAAGCCCTCTCAGGGAGATGGCCCAGATGTGAGCAAAGCTGCATTCCACAGCTGCAGGCGCGCTCCCCAAAGAGCCACCCCTGCCCTCCGACCCGGCCACATATTCATAATAAATCCAGGAGATTCGTTGGCGCTCCTGTGAAGGCGTGCCGTCCTCGGCCACAGCCCTGGTCTGACCTGACCTCGACATTGTGTTTCCTTAGGTCTTGAAATTGTCAGTTGTCTGCCTTCCTACTGTTTTTCATTTGAAATTCATCACCAATATTCACTCTTTGAAGGTTTTAAGAAGTGAACTTAATCATAAAGATAACTTTTAAAAAAACGACTATGACAGTCCGTTCTAATAACGTTCTTAATAAAACACTCTGACAGGGCTCCCCGCACTACTTAAGTGGCGCCGCAACGTCAGTAGTGAATCTACAGTACAAAACAGAAAGTGAGACCATGTAGTCTGATTCCTGAATGAAAGAATTAATACTTTTTACTGAATCAAAAACATAAAGCACAATCAGTTCCTGCACAAATGACTCAAATTAGTGAATCAAACACATACAGTTTACAACTGAATGTTTTAATTCAGTGAAGTTACTGGTTCTTTATATGACAATGAATGTATAGTTAAAGATAAACGTTTTCAGTTTTTCCAATTCTAAAAAAAGTGAAGTAATTAAAAAGTCTGTGTAAACGCATCTTTTGTAAGAATATTTTCCAAATATATATATATATATATGTATATGTATATGTATATGTATATGTATATGTATATGTATATATATATATATATGTATATATATATATATATATATATATATATATATATATATATATATATATATATATATCGTCCTTAAAAGTACTAAGAGAGCCATGAACAAAACACTTTTTTTATAAGTACTAAAACAACTGATAAAGGAATGGAACTTTTTTTCTTAACATTTTTCACAATTTCCATCCTTAATTAGCATTATTAATACCTATTAATATTCATTTCTGATTTTTCCTTGACTTTCATTTATTACTGGAGAGACAGCACTATACCTGAGCATAGTTTTCAGGCCGAGTGAGAAGAGGCAGTTCATAGGCCGTGGAAAAATGTGTCCGGACCTGCTGCATCTGTCCGAAACGCTCTCTTTTCCGCCACTTGGCTCTTCGGTTTTGGAACCACACCTGCAAGCAAGACAATCAACCCTTAATCATGAGGATATCGCATTAGTAAGTGATTAAATGACCTCATGCAAACTGGCCACTTGTGGTGTTGCATCATAGAGAGGAAATGTTTTCTTAGTGGAGATTTATTGACGGAGTAATCACCATCTATTATCAAACTTCCTATTTTGAACACATTGTGTTACTCGTATGGTATAGCCTAGAAAGTCTGCCACTTTAGTTGTAAGTCTAGAGCTCATGTAGGAAGCCATTTGGCTTTATTATAGATCAGCATCTTTTCCTGGAAACAGTTCGGGGAGACCTGGCCATTGTTTGATGTTGTGGGAGCTGACAGATTGTGATGGCCTCCTCTGAGTTTCTTTTCTATCAGAGCTATCAGCAGCAGCAGGGGGTAGGGAGGGGAAAGCAGGAACCCACCGGGTCCAGAGGCTTCGAATAACTGTTTCACTCCTCCTCCTGCACTACCACCACACGCTTGCTTTGATGGATTAGGAGATTGCTGCTCAGCTTTTAGAAAGGAAAAGGTGAATTGAAAATGAAAATCATTTACTCACCCTTGTGTCATTCCAGACCTGCATGACTTTAATTTCTGTGCTGAACACAAATGAATATATTTTGATCATGCAATGAAATTAAGTGGGCTCCAATGTTGTTTTGCACCCCAAAAGCATCTGCAAATTTATTTCAAATATCTTCTTTTGTGTTCCACAGAAGAATGAAATTCACACGTTGAGAGTGAGTAAATGACATCATTTTTAGGCAAACAGTTAGTACTGGATTTCATCTGGCAAGTTACACTTTCTTTCACATTTTTCCCTCTTTGCTTTGCTATAGAAATATGCATTGTGTCCCTGAATAGATGGTTATTTAGAGATCTGGGAATTAGAGAACAAATTACACAAAGTGATTTCTCATGGTTCGCAGTCTGAAGAGCTGCCAAAAATTCCATTCTTTTGGTCCCTGATCTTCTCTGTTTAGAAGTATCTGTTTATTGATTTGTGGAGTGGAAAGTTTTCTTTCTTTTGTCTTGCAATCTCAATTTGTCACGGAGCTTGAACTTGGATCTGGGGATGGCCCTTTGGTCAATCAGTTTGTGGTTATTGCATCCATTGCCAGCAAGATGTCAGCCTATCTCTAAGCGTAACTTGATAGCACCTTAGCTCTGTTTGCACTTAATTTGGTGGTGGACATCAATGTCCCTTGGCTCCACATCATATGTTTGTAGAGCTTAACTGCCTGGAGAAAAAAAGAACATTTTGTTTTGCTCAGATTTTTTCAGAGAGCATCATCACTCTTGTGGCTCTCCGCTTGCATCCTTGTGTTTTGAAATGATGCTAGGTTTTGACTGTGTTAGCGCATCTAAAAATGCAAAGACGTCCGTTTAATATGATTGTCTGCACAGCATTTTTATTCCCGTTTTTATATTTATCTTTTTATCAGACTGTCTTTCCTTTCATAAATCTAAGCATGGAAGTTGGGAGATCGAAAAGAAAGATGGAAGAAAGTTCAAAATGGAGTTTGTTTTCATTCTATGTTTAATTTCCTGACTCTTAAGCCCCTGGCTTTCAATATCTGACTCTCCAACCCAGTAGAGGCGTGTAGACGAGTGGTGGAAAGATTGCCTTGCACCTCTCATACTGATGAGCCAATGCTGAGGTGTGTTGTATAATGCTTACACCAAAAGTTCACCTTTGAACTAGACTGACAGGGAGCAAGAGAGACCGAGTTATTTGGATCTTTGGTCAAAAGTGGTTGGTGCAACCTTGGGCTTGCTTTTTGGTTACTTTAAAATATTTCCAATCATTCTTTCCCTTTAGTGGTTGCTGGTGAATAAGTTCAGGGCTGCCAACATTAACAAGTCAACTAATTTTGACCAGCACCTGTTAGAAACGTAGTAGCAAAAGTCTTTTTTTAATCTTTTGTATGTTGTCCATGCGGGCTAGTAACACAGTAATTGGTAAAGACGTTGACAGCTAAAGCAGCTTAGAGGCTTATTATGGAGCTTTATTTATGTTCCAGCACCAGGGGAGAAAGAACAGAAACACTGAACTAAACCTAGCAGAAAAAACAGCTTTGAAGTCCAGAGTAGCTTTGAGGATTGATGGTCTGACTCTGCTGTCACTCAAGCTCACCTCTTCTACTTCAGAATCATTCATTTTTTTTTTTTTTTTGACCCCCAGAACTGTAAATATAGTAAAATGCTAGTAAAATGCTATAAAAGTACTGTTTCTTTATTGACTTATTATTATTATGTGGGACTTTTTGCCTTCAATAAGATAGAAGCAACAGGAATTGATGGGGAAAAGAAGGGGTGGAGTGGTGGGTTCAGCAAATGACCGAGCCAGACTCTAACTCTAATTGCTTGCACAAATGCATCACTGTCGGAGCACATGCAACTACCTAAGCTTGCTTTTCGCCATATGAGTCATTTGTTTTTTGTTTTCATGTTGCTGTAAAAAAATGTATGGTTGGCGTTAGGGTAATGTGCAGTAAATTAGGTATCTTTTTGTGCTGTCCCAAAGTAGAGAGTAGATGAGAAAAGGCTTCACTTGTAAGTTGCAGAAAGATTTGACAGTGTTCATAGTCCCTGGAACTGAACCATTGTGGTTCTTTGGATGTTTCCCATTATTCTTTACTTATAGCCAGTCGTGTACATGGATATAAATCATAAGCATCCCTCACCATGTGAAGGAACTTCAGGCTAGATTCTCTCACCTACCCTTGAGAGCAGGGAGGGACACATTCTTTCCTGAGTGGGACATTAATGAAAGACAAACAGTGTAAATCCGGGGTTCTAAGTAAAGCGCCCATTCGGGGTCGGGTAAAGGGATCTCCCGGTCTGTCTGTTGATGCAGGAATGCAGCAGTAGTGTTGGAGGGATTATATGCAAATGTAGGTGTAGGGCTGGGGGTGGGTCACATAAAGGTTCTTGTTTTCCAGACCTAGGCTGAGTTTAATACAGCTGGGCTCAGAGGTTCAGGTAGAGGCTCGAGATGAAAGCAGACCCTGACATGTCTAATCTGAAAGCCCCTTTTTTACTTTATGATCTCTTGTGACGGCCAACTTCAACAGCTTTTTCTCTGTATTCTCTATTTACATTTAATATTCTTTGCACTGAGTGTAATCACTCTTCCTCCTAGTGTCGCTGTTCTTTTACCAACTTTGAAAAATGAGGGATGGAAGTCCTGTTAATATAGACCAAGGGGTATTTTTCAAAGCTCAAATGGACTAAAATTAGTAGAGAGAGACTTCATTGTTGATCTAGCCTCATTGTACAAGGTTATTCAAAACATGTTATTTAATTTGGTAATGTAAATGCAGCTCACACCTGTACACGAGCTTCTGTCAGGTCAGTCCTCAGTGCGAGTTGTTCCCGAGCGTAGACGTCGGGATAGTGTGTTTTCTGAAAGACTTTCTCCAGCTCCTCTAGCTGATAGCTTGTGAAGGTGGTGCGGTTGCGTCTTTTCTTGCCCTTGTTGCTCTCTCCCTCGGCCTTGTCCAACAACGGAGAAGCCAAATCTGAGTTTGGCTGCTGGGGGCTCTTCACTCCTGACTCCTTTATGCTGAGGTAGCTGCCATCCATCCCTGCAGGATCACTGTTTTGGGGCAACTCAGAATCTGTCAGCCCCGTGCTGTCTTTACCTGTAGACAGAAAAAGAGACATTTGTGAAGGGTCATTGTGTGCATTACTTGAATACAATTGATTATAAAAATGATGTGAGGGAAGCAATTCTGTAAAACCATTTGATCACCAAATATTGTGAGCAATTATTTAATTGAATTGAATTTGATTTAATTTCATTTGAGGCTTGGTTTAACAGCAATTCTTCTCCTATCATCATTGTGTTCTTCATCCCAAGTCACTCCAGTGGACTGTTACGTTGGATAAAGCCTTTATCATTAACCTGGTGTAATTTAATTTTTAATACCATCCCTATTTTTTACAGTGATGTTTGGAAATTTAAAATATATATAGGTAATACTTTAATACTTTTGGGTGGCATGATCTGACAATGAACAATTTTTACAACATTTATTAATATAGGTTAATGTTAATTAAAATGCTTTTGTTCATTATAAATTAATGTTTGTTTGTAATACTTTAATGTTAATTATTAACAGATGTACTATCAAGTATTATGAATGTAGAAATTACCCTACATTAATAAAGTATTGTTCATTGTAAGTTCATTATACCTGCATTGTATTAACTAATGCTAACAAATTAAACAATACTGTTAACTTATCTAAGTGTTAGCTATAATATTGGTCAATATAATATATTATACCACGGGCTGTTTAAATACTCGATTCTGATTGGCTGGAAGGTGTGCAGTAAAACCGTTTAATGCACAGGTAGTTCCAGTCAGTTTGATTACAGTTCGAAATTAATCCGCTACTATAAACATTGGTAACCATAGTAACAGAGTTACACTTGCAAAAGAGTGAGAGAGAGACACATATGAAAACGTTTATTTAGGTAGGCTCATAGCCATAGAGAGAAAGAGTTGCGACGCTCTTTGATGTCGCCGCGATGGCTGTCACGTGGTTCATATAATATTGTGTGCAATTTAATATTGACCAAGGCAATGTAGAGTTGTCGTTCATAGTTCTTCAATCCCAATATCTTGATTATTCTTTATTTGGTCTGTACTGAGTGTGTGTGGAATGAGAATCTGTAAGACCCATGGATGTAGTAACGGCTGTCAGTCTCCACTCATAAATCAGCTGCTCATGTGTAACAGACAACATGGCTGTAATTGCAGACTGATAGAAAATTACCGGTTTCCCATTTGGGCACAATTCGAAGACTACTGCCCTGCTTGATGAGTGTAGCCTCAAACATACACACAGTCTGTGGCAAGGGTGCAAAATGGAGCTTGGCTCGTAATGAGGCCGCACTAGCGGCCCTAGAGTAGTAATTTTCTGCGTCAAGCCACTGGAAACACACAGCAGCTCAGCTGTGAAACCCCAGTCAGCGTGCCGGTCATAAATTCAGTCAGATCAATGAATGTGAGGATTCCAGTACATTAGGTCATTTCTCCAGCTCGCTCTCAGTGCTCATTACCTGTCTGTGCTTTGTGGAAAAGCTGTGCTACAAAGATTGGCATGCTCACTCAAATCGGAACGCTTACAAACTTGATGGCTGTATTGGCAGACTTTTGGCTGTTTCTCCCTGTTTCACTCATTTAGCTGCAAGGAGAAGTAAAGCTGGATTAGAGTTCCTTGGGGAATGTTCCCTTCTTATGTGATCCAGTGGCGACCCTGAGCTTTATGTCTTACTTTAGCTCAGCGCTCAGTGACAGAAAGTTATTTTAGGTGATGCAGTGTTGAGTTGTTCATTTTCTAATGTGAGACTTGATTAAAGCCTTCTCGGGTTTGAGCTGAGGGGCAGATGGGTAAATGCTACTGGTACACATGGTTTTCTCACCTCCTCACATAACCATGTAGGGTAATGTACAGAGCCAGATTAGGGTATTGTGGTGCCCTGTGAGAGAGATTGTCAACGGCTTGTAACCCTCAAAAGTACTCCTTTTGTATTTTATCCCCAAACAGGGTACATATTAGCATCTAATGGTAGGCTACTATATTAAAGGGATAGTTCACCCAAAAATTTTAATTAGCCCATGATTTACTCACCCTCAAGTCATCCTAGGTGTATATGACATTCTTCTTTCAGACAAATACAATCGGAGATATATATATATAAAAATGTCCTGGCTCTTCCAAGCTTTATAATGGCTGTTAATGGTTGTTTACATTTACATTTATTCATTTAGCTGACGCTTTTATCCAAAGCGACTTACAATTGCTATATATGTCAGAGGTCGCATGCCTCTGGAGCAACTAGGGGTTAAGTGTCTTGCTCAGGGACACATTGGTGTCTCGCAGTGGATTCAAACCCGGGTCTCTCACACCAAAGGCATGTGTCTTATCCACTGCGCCATCACCACCCCACCGTTTCTGCCATCACCGTTTCTGTTTTGAAGTCCAAAAAAGTGCATCTATCCATCATAAAGTGCTCCACACGGCCCTGGGGGGTTAATAAAGGCCTTCTAAAGTGAAGCGATCCGTTTGTGTAAGAAAAATATCCATATTTAAAACTTTATAAAGTAAAATAACTATCAAACGGCCATACGCGGTCTACGTGCGCCTAAAGCACAATTTACTTTGCGCTTACGTTGAGTAAATCATGGGCTAATTTTCTTTTTGGGTGAACTATCCCTTTAAAAGCATAAAAATTCTGGCATCTGACAACCTGTATTAATTTCTTTCTCCTGTGGAACACAAAAGAAGGTATTTTGAAATGAAATGCAAGACAACTAAAGTTGTTTTTGACCCCATTGACTTACATTGTATGGTTAAAACATTCTTCAAATATCTTCTTTCGTGTTCCAAGGAAGAAAGTAAGTCATACAGGTTTGAAACAACAATAATAACAGAATTTTAACTTTTGGGTAAACAATTCATTTACGGCTAGATAAGCCACACATATGTACCTTTTGAAGGCACTCCCTAACAAGCCAAATGTAAACATTTTGCACTCTTTCACATTTCCCACTATTTGAAACCATTTGTACGGCCCTGATTTGTACACGCCCTAAACATGTTGCCCCTTGGCACATGCCCAAATGCCCATGCGGTTATTCCAGCCCTAGTAATGTACCCAACAAGAGAGCATATTGGCACAACCAGCTTTTCCATTCCTCCATCAAGTTCTAATTGGTCAGTTGCCAATAACCATGTGAACTGTGATCAAGACAACAGTTTGTGGCTTTGTGAATCTTGTGTGGTGTCATTGATTTGAAAATTGATTCTGCCTAGGGAAAAAAACATTATCTTAATATATAATACACTCCATAAAATGGAACCAGCTTTTTTTAATGGCATTTGACTTTTGGTCAAATCTCTCTCTTAAAGGCATAGTTCACTAAAAAAATAAATGAATCACTCGTGACATTCCAAACCTCTTGTATGAAAGACAAAAGATATTTTGAAGAATGTTTGGTACGGAACTGTTTGGTTACTGTTGACTTCCATTGTATGGACGAAAAAAATCGAGATATGTCTACATGCGCTAATTTTCCTCAATCCGAATAAATCCAATCTGATTTCAGATTCATAAAGTTCTGTTTAGAATCCTAAACTTTGCAACTCGATTCACATTTTCATTTACGCGTGTATTTATATTATATCCTCATTTGGAACTAGAGAAAGCCACCGCTGTAATGTCACCGGAGCTACCGTGAGTATAAATGTCATTTTTGCCTTGATGACATACCTTAATGGAAAGTTAACAAATATGCCAAAAAAGCTTCTTTCTTTTTTTTTTTTTGCAAATATTTAGTAAATATTCGGTTTCCTCCACTGACCAGTTCCTACGACGTAAATAAACACAGTTTGCACGTTCATAATAAGTTAAACATGTAAACTTATTGTAAAAGGGGTCTGGTAAACATGGGTATCACAGCACTGCGCATGTGTGCGAGGTATTTTTTAATCCGATTGGGAAAAAAGTATTGATCGTATTATACACAACCCCTTTCAATGTGATCAAAATTTAATTTGGGTCAAGCTCAATCTGATCGATTGGGATGTTTATATGAAGTTATTTCAGTTTAATTGAGCCATTAATCCATTTACTAACAGATTTTTTGGGTGCACATAAACTTAGATACTGAGATATTTCTATTTATGTTGCACAGAAAAAAGAAAGTCATATGGTTTTGGATCAATATTAGGGTGAGTAAATGACCATTTTCATTTTGTGTGAACTCTATCCCTTTAACTCATATTGTTCGTTTTAGATTTTTTTTAGATAGACTTTCAGCTTGATAAATATAGCATTTTTGTCTTTACCTTTTGTAGGTATATGCCTTAGGAACTGCTCCTGTTCTTGACCACATAGCACATTGTATATGCTTCCTTTTGGTTGTCTCCCTATTTGCCTTTTCCAGGCACCATGGGCTCAACCATGACAGACATGGAGCCAGGCCTGGGGGTATAATGGTTCCCACATTGCCTCTTGCCCACGACTGACACATCTTGTTAAGCAAGTGAGAGCAGCGAATTTACTCAAACATAAATATTTTCAGCTTGTCCCTTCAGATGCCTCACGCCTTTTGCCCTCACACGGAAAAGCTGACAGCCTGTTTGAAATCGGGGCCTAGCGATCAAAGGTTCTTGTTTATACCTCGTGTCACTGATGGCTTTTGGCAGACCTAGAGTATTGTGACAGTCTCGTAGTCCACCAAGGGTTCAACCCAGGCTCTCCGCTGCTCAAGGTGAACAGAGACTTGGCTGCCCCGTAGCTCCACCATATGGGCGAGTAACATGACCTGCCTTCTGGGCAAGAAATCTCACGGCAAAATGTTTCTGTCAGAATAGAAAAAGTTTTGAACTGGAGCTCTGAGGGGGGTATTGGTTGAAGATTGCAACAAAAAAATGCAGAGCAGAACATGGTCATGCTGTTTTACCCTGTTTGTGGTGCACTGTTAGACACACTGAAGTTTCATGAGGTCATATCTGGCTTTAGGAAAAATGTCTACCACAGATAATACCAGAAAAAACACCTATTTGTTTCCAGTGAAGGGCAAATGAGAACACTATTTCAGCAGAATTTAAAAAAAAAAATGTTTTGA